GCAAGAAGGTGGCAGCGCTCCGTTGGGATTAAGAGCACTCACACACATTTCTGTACCTGTGTTTCTCAAAGTATGTTTCCCTTGCAAAAGAGAAAAATTGTTAGATTCCAAAGAAGTTGTACGTAAGGACCCCAGGTTCAGAACCACTGGATTGGGAAACCCCCGATTCAGTGATAATATTTCACTTGCAAATTAAAAAAGTTTGCCTTTGTAATCACAGGCTCCTTATATTATCATCAGAGCCCTTCAGTAATGTATACATTGCAGATATCTAAGTGTACACCCAAGATCACAGACTCAGGTCCAGCTGGACGAGCTCCAAACGCAAGCGTCATGAAAATCTTCCTACGGGGTCTCATCATGGTAGCAGCAGCGGTGCTTCCAGCCTTTTATTTTATTAAGGAAAACCCTTTTGACATCACAAGTTTCCTGACCTTGGTGAGTACCAGAAATTTAGAATACAGCCAAGTTAAAATCCTTGGGCTGAAAGACAACATTATCTCGAGAGTCCATCTGTGGGAATTAGTCACAAATAATGTAGACACTCAAAGAAGAAAGACAGGAATAGTTCAGGATTCCATATATCCTTTTTCTTTGGTGAATTCAGTAAGGATGATGACCCTCTAGCACACTGAAAATTTGGAGCTGGGAAGGAATAACATTTAATGTTTTGGTAGAAATGGTTCTTACAGTAATTCATAACACAGAAAATATTCCTTGTTTTATAAGTTGCCCACTCTAAAAAAATGTCCCTTGGTTTTCAAAGTTATATGTTTTAATCAGTGTTACCTCCCAAACCCTGAGGGGTTACATCATTTCTACAGGCCAAGAAATCTCTTTAAGAAGTAAAGGAATCTTTACCACAACACAGAAAAAGGCAAAGAGGAGAAGGGAGGAGGTGAATGAATAGAAAGATTTATTTTGGACACCAGAATGGTATTACCTGGCCCCCAGTATCTCTCACAGTTAACATGTGTGACGACCCTTATGGGGTTATGACCTGTATCAGGCTATAAGCATAGGGATAATTATTCCCTGCATCTTAACCAGAGAGGTAGAGGAATTCTAGCTCCCTAAGCCCAAGATCCATAACCTATACAGGAACCCTAACGAGAGAAGACACAGAGACTTAAACTGAGCCTGAGCAGCCTTCCCTGTGTCCTGGAAATGTTTTCATTATGCTGTGCAAAGGGGACCACGCAGCCATTATTCCCAGAGGTGATGAATCATAGAACTGAGTCTCGCTCTTCTCTCAGGAGGAAAAGGAGATGGTAGCTTGGCAGAGAGCCCGGATGCAAATCAACCCTGGCATGACAGAACACCTCAAGAGCTTCAAAGACATGCAGAGAAACTCAGAGCCACTCAAAAATGTGAACACTCAGATCTTGATTGGAGTCCCTCCTCTTGAAAAAAGTGAGTGAAAAGGCACCCAGGAGAGGGAGGGGAAGAGAGGGAAGGCAGATAGAAAAGAAAGGAAACATACCAGGATTTTAGACTGCAATAGAAAGTGGGGCTGAGTCTGTTCACTCCCCATTGCTTCTGCAGGTGAAGTTAGGGAGACACTGAGAAAAGTCCAGGAAGAAATGATGGAAGAGGGATAAAGTCAGGTAAAAACAGAGTCTTGAAAGAGCAATCTCAGGGTTAAATGGGGCTCCAGATACCCGTTAGGCCTTACTATCCCAAGTGTAGTTTATGAAAGACAGCAGCAGTGTCTGGTAGTTTGTTAGAAACATAGAATGAGCTAGAGTGATGGCAACCGCCTGTATCCCAGCTACTCAGGAGGCTGCGGCAGGAGGATCTCAAATTCAAGACTAACCTGGTCAGTGCAATGAGACCCTGCTTCAAAATAAATATTCAAAAAGGACTGGGGATGTAGTTCAGTCCTGCAGGGCTTGGCTGGGTATGTGAGGCCTCGGGCTCAGTCCTCAGTGCCACAGAGGAAAGAATAGGAGACAGAGACAGACAGACAGACAGACAAGAATCCTAGGCCAAACCTTGACCTGTAGAACCAGAACGTTCACTCTGAACGTAGTCCAAAAGAATGATGCAGACACCAAAGTCAGGGGCCTGTACAATAAGAGTTTTGGGCACGATAAAACAGAGAATATAAAGTAAAAATAGCCTTTCTTCCAAGGATGTGGGGAGAAGTCCATGACCGCCAGCGGCGTGGCTTTCTCTGGCCGGAACGTGGGGCATGGAATATGCATATAACCTCTGACCGGGGGTGGCACTCAGGGCGGGCATTGATGAAGTGCGAGGAACTGAGTGGAATTTTCTTCCTGTGCAAACAGGAAGGGGAGTTGCAATTAAGGCTGGGGAAGAAGCAGGAAGTGGTAGGCGTTTCCACTTCGGCCTTCCACCACCTTAGACCACTGCCATAACCATACAGTAATTTATTCTAGAGCAGGAACCTTTGATACAGTACTTTCATAGATCTGAAGCGCAGGACCTGATCCTGAGACGCAGAGCAGAGTTAGACTCGGCAGTGCACGCCTGTAATCCCAGCACCTGGGAGTCTGAAGCAGAAGGATCGCTGCAAGTTCAAGGCCAGTCTGAGCTACAGAGTGAATTTAGGGCCAGTCTGGACTACACATAGTAAGTTCAAGGCCAGCCTGGATTACACAGCAAGACCCTGTTTCAAAAACAAAAACACAAAACAGCAGAGCAGACCTGAGAAGTTTCAGGTCAGCAAAATCATTCAATGTTTTGTCGATTCTCCGTATGGTAGAGACCCTGTCCCCCATTTTTGTGTGAGCTGTCCTGACAGTCTTTGAAAACTACACTTGTAGGAAATGAACATAGTCTCATTGGAAGTCACTTCCACTCAATATATTACAATATATTCTGCATACCGAGTAAAACATGGAAGTTCCTTTTTTCTTTTTCTTCCCTGCTCCTCTCCCCTCCCCAAGTCTGATGTCTTCTGCCACTCACTATAGACTATGTGTATGGGATCAAAAAGATCATTTTATATGCACTGTTATCTCTTTTTTCGTTCTTCAACACGTACGTGTCTTGGAGAGTCTTCTCTTGCTGAACTCCTTAACTCAGCATAACATAGATTTCTTTTTTAAAAAGCAACTAACCATTTCTCAGTGATGAGCACTCAGTTATTTCCAACTTTTTATATAGTAAAAAGTCTCAATTTTTGTTCCTATGTAAAAATATTTCTATGAGAAATACAGTCAGATAAGAAGCCAATGGGTCTAAGGACACGTGTACTTTAGATTTTGATTGATACCACCAAATTGCAAAGACAGAAAGCTACTGCTTTATGAGTATCTGTTCCTCACTGTCCTGCCAGCACTGTTCTTTGCCAATTTGAAAAAACAACTGATTTTGTGACATTTGTTATCTAGTAGTCTTGTCTGTTACTAAAAGTTGAGTATTTTTTATAAACTTAAAAGATATTTATGTTCTTTTCTTTTCTTTTCTTTTTTGGTCTTTGAGACAGGGTCTCACTATGCAGTTCAGGCCTGCCTTGAGCTCACTTTGTAGCCCAGGCTGGTCTCGAACTCTCAACAGTCTTCCTGCCTCAGCCTCCCGAGTGCTGGGATTGCAGGCATGAGCCACCACGCCCAGGTGTTGTTCACTTTCTGTCAGACTGGTTTTTTTTTTCTTTTTGGTGCTGGGAATTGAATTCAGGACCTTGCACTTGTGAGGCAGGCGCTGTACCTCTGAGCTATCTCCCCAGCCCTTTATTGTTAATATATAGCAATTATTTATATATTTGAAATATTTGTGCCTTTTTCTCTTCTTTTTTGATAGAGTCTTGCTATATAGTTCAGGCTGGCCTAGACTCTGTAGCCCACGTGGGCCCTGTACTCACAGTGATCCTCCTGCCTTAATCTCCCAAACACCAAGATTATAGGTGGATACCACCACACCCAGTTTTGTGCCTAACTATCTACTTCTTTGCTACTTTTGTCTGTTCATGATTTGTTTATTTGTTTTTGAGACAGGGTCTCACTGTGTAGTGTAAACTGGCCTTGAACTCACTTATGTAGCCCACACTGGCTTCATGATAATCCTCCTGCGTCAGCCTCCTGAGTGCTGGGATTACAGGTATGCACCACCACACCCAGTTCTTTTGAACACTAAAATTTTGGATCAGACTTGAGTTGTGAATATTGCTTGAGCAAAAACTTACTCTCCAGAGATAATTTTCAGAAAACTTGTATATATTCTTCCACTATTCTTATGATTTTGCTTTTGCAAATACAAATATGTTATATGGTAAATTTTAGTTTTAAATAAGATATACTCTAGATAATCAACTTTCTTTACATTTGGAAATCCTGTGACCTCTACTGTTATGAAAATTCTGTGTTCACAGGTTTATTTATGGAAATCATTTTATTCTATTGACCTTTTAAATATCCTATACTGATTCTATAAGATCCGAGCTGCTAGTGCTGTATTGTATATTTGTTACATTCTCCCTCCCCTGCCTACATATTTTTGTGCTCTTTCATAGTTTCTTGGCTATTCTTTATTTTGTTTTTCTAGATGAATTTTTTAGTTTGTCAAACTTCATGAAAAAATACTGTTGTTTGGAATTGCATAAAATTTACAGATAAACTTGGAGTTAATTGATATCTTTACCAAACTGAATCCTACTATCAAGAAATATATTATGTGTCTATGTAATTTAGATTATCTCTTATGGTTTCATCAAAGCCCTACCACTTTTTTTCAGGTCTTCCATGTTTCTGATTAGACACAGTTTGCTGTGCGTTACAGTTCTGCATAATGTGTGTCTTCCTTTTCTGTTACGTGTCATAATTGTCTATTAAAAATCTGGAGGGATGCTAATACTGTTTGGCTGTTGATCTTATACATATCATGTTAACTCTAATAGTTCCTAGTAGGTTCTAATAGTTCCCTAGTAAATTCTCTTGTGTTATTTATATAGATCGTTGTTATTTAAAAGAGTGTTATCTTTGTTTCTATTGAATACTTGTATCTTTCTGATAAGATTATATCCAAAAGATGAGAAGTATAAAACAAAAGAGGCCTTTATTCTGAGACCGCGGAGAGAGAAAACCAAAACACCCCCAACCGCTGGAGTCCAGCTTTCTCTCTGGCAGACACGTGGCATGGGGGGTATATAAGTAGCCTTGGTTTGGGGTGGAAACTTAAGGGGGCATTAGGGATGCACGGGTAGCCCATTGGTCTTTGTTTGGCACCATAGGTAAATTCCTAGGGGTGGGGAAGATGGAGTCACTGGTAAATTCCTAGGGGTGGGGGAGATAAGAGCTCCTTGGTTCTGCCTCTAAGGCTTTACCGGCTACAGTGTTCTGTCTGGGCAAAAACCCTTTCATATCCTGTCTTATGATTATTATTATGAAAAGGGGCAAAGATTTCTCTCTTTAACTACTTCCTGCTGGCAGAGGGCACTGTACTGGAGTCTAGGGAAGTCGACGGGATGATGATTGATGCCCAGGTAGACGCTGGTACCAGGTGTTTTAGCCGGAACAACTTGACTGGTGATGCACGTATGTTAGACTGGAAAAACAAAGAGACAAGATATGAGGAGGCATGGCACTATCATATTTAAGGACCCAGTGAGGTAGAAGGAAGGACACCTTTGATTTAGACATGTCATTATATCAGGATGACGTTGAGGTAGAAACATTTGCATGGTAAGGCAGAATTCTGAAAAATAAATGTGGGTTTATGAGGAGTCAAGTTATGAGAGGTGATTACTCCCTTATCTGAAAGGGTAAAAGTTAAGAGGGTAGGTGTATAAAACTTGTCTCCGGCCCAGGAGTTGAACTAGAAAAAAATAGGGGGAGCAGGGAAGGCGGTGGCTGTACCAGTATAGGGAAGGTAAGGGCTTAGGCTTTCAAGGATGTCACATTTAACCAGACAGCTGAGGGTAGAAAGAACTGCGACAGTCATCACATAGAACCTTATGAAGATTATCTTACACATGATGTGGGAGTCTTTAGGAAAGACTGTCAAGAGTCCTGCTGTTTGAAGAAGGTCTCTACCTAAAAGGGGTGTGGAACATGTTGGGATTATTAGAAAGCTATGAGTAAAGAAAAGTCTGGAATTGACATGAGACAGGCCCAGTTTGCAAAGGCTGGGTAGGCTGGCCGTCAATGCCCACAACAGAAATCAAGGACTTACTACAAGATCCTGAAAGTTCAGGAAGTACACTATAAGTCACCTCCGTATCTACAAGCAAAGATATTATCTTACCTGAGACCTCCAGTGAGACTCAGGGCTCTGACAAGGTTATGGGAGTCAGGGCTGTGAGCCTCGAACCCCATCAATCTTCCACAGCAAGTCCAAGCAGATCAGTCAGTGATGAATCTGGCATTGATGGAGTCTCCTGTGAGGGTGAGGAATTAGAGGATGATTTACCTGCTCACTGGCAGCTAGGACAGTCGCTCTTCCAATGGCCCTTAACGTTGCAGTAGGGAAATGGCCCTGGGGGAATGCCAGGGTTGGGGCAATCTTTTGCCCAATGTCCTTGTTTGCTGCATTTAAAGCATGGTCCGGGTGGGACGTGGGCAGCCACACCTTGTTTCGGATTTCTTGTCCTGGGATCCCCAAGTGCCACTGTTAAGAGATCAGACTGATATTTAGCAAACTATTTTTTGAGCTTGTTTTTCCTCTTTTTGAATTTTATCTCTGTTGTTGAAGACATGGAAAGCTAACTTAAGAAGATCCCCTTGCGGAGTTTGAAGGCCATGTTCAACCTTTTGTAGTTTTGCATGACTATCAGGAGCAGACTGGGAAATAAGAGTTAACAACAATTATCCCTTCATGAGAGTCTGGGTTTACATTAGTGAACTTAATTAAGGTTTCCTGAAGCTGATTTAGGAACACAGCTGGGTTTTCATTAGCCTCCTGGACCTGTTCTAAAAGTTTGTTATAGTTAGTATGTTTGTGACCAATCTTATTAAGGCCCACAATTAGACACACAATCATTTTATGTAATTTTGTTGAACCTTCACCATTTTGATAGTTCCAGTTAGGATCTTGTTCTGGCACAGCTGTAGGCCCAGGGTCATTATCAGCAGTGTTCACCTTATGTCTGTGATTAGCTTGTTCTTGAGTTGCCTGTCACAGCTGAGTTTGCTCTTGTGAGCTGAGAGTGGTATTTAGAATCACATAAACTTCCTTAAAATGTAAATCATAACAATTAGTTATAAATTCAAATTGCCTGAATAATTCTTTTTTTTTTTCACTACCAGAGATTGAACTCACAACCTCACACTTGCAAAGCAGGCGCTTATGCTGCTGAGCTAAATCCCCAAGCCTGCCTGATATAATTTTGTGGGTCAACAGAGAAGCTACCTAATTTATGAGTAATCTGAGATAAGTCAGAAAGGAAGAAAGGCACATGTATATTAACAAGTCCCTTGGGGCCAGCTTGCTCCCAAAGTGGTAGCAGAGATTGAGGAGAATATTGCAGAGTAGATGGCCATTGGGCAGCCATCCATCCGGTAGGCACGTGTGAGCAATTATCTGTAGAGCGGCTACAAAGCGGCTGCCGGTTAACATGGGATGAGGAAACACAGACAGTTGGTGCAGTTGGCGCCTCACTGTGTGCCTTGCAGCAATGAAATTGCTGTCCACAGCACAGTCATGTGGTCCACAACAGGGTGGCTGTTACTGATCACAAGAGGAGCCACAAGGGGGTGGCCATTGACCGTGAGATCCATCCCAAGATGGCGGCACCCTTTCACATGGCAGAGGGCCGCAACATGATGACGGTCCCTGGCACAAGCTGCAACAGTCACGCGGCTTGCCGGAAAGATATAGTGACCGAGACCTAGTATGGTGGACTGGAGGTGAGAATGCCGTAGGGGACAGAGAATTTTCAGGAGAGTAAGAGGTCGGAGACTGCAAGGAAGCGCTAACAGAGGGATTAGAGCTGCTGGGAGAGTTATGGGCCTCGGGAGAGGGAGGAGGATGGGATCACACAGCGGGAGATACAAGCGAGGAACGATTTTGGGGATGGGGAAGAGGCGGCCAATAGAAAACCGGGGGTACTTCGTCTAGCGGATCATGAGGGCAGGAGGGGAGAGTTTGCGGCACAGCAGAGTTAGCTAAAAGTACCTGGGTGGGGGTACAAGATTTAATGAGAGACAGGCACGTTCTCAGAGCAAGAAAAGCCTGTATGTAAGGGATCTTTGTTAACTTGTCACCAGTTTGGCAGAAATCATACAGATTTTTGAGACTATAGGGGTCAAATGTCCCCCCTTTGGGCCATGGGCTGCTGGTAAGTGGGTAGGTCGGCCAAACCTCCTGGCAGTAAAAAATTAATTATTTAGTTTTTATGGTGCTTTTAATTTTAAGAAAAAGCATTCCCATGACTAATTCAGGCAAGAAACAAGCTGTGGTCCAGAGGTTGAGCCATCACTCATCCTGTGGCACTGAATGGTGGTTAGGGTTCCAAAAACTCGTATTTTCCAGTCGTCACTGAGAGATCTACAAGTGGATTCCATGTGGGTTCAGTAACAGTTCTGCCCATGAGAGTGTGAAGCTCCAAGGGACATAAGGATCTTACAGTGTGGGCTGGCCCAGGAAAACTCTGCCTTGGGCTATCCGAACCCAAAGGATGTGAGAGTTTTCGAGTGTGGACACAGGTTGCCCAGAACAACCCTGCCCTGGGCTGTCTTAAGGACATGAGAGTGTCACGAACCCACGGAAAGGGGGGAAAAACTTGCCTGGGGCTGAGCCCAGTGCCAAAGAATTCTTCGGAGTTTGCTCACCTGAGATAAATCGGGCCAGTGTTGTGTGCTAGCAGTTGGCGACAAATTAAGCAGGTCCCGGGAGACGAAAAGTGGAGAATTAATCCAGGATGTGATTCAGGTTCGTGAATTGGCTGGGGACTCGAACTGGGTGTGCCCCAGGAGTCAATTGCCTGCCAATGGAGTCATGGCACCAAATGATAAGATTATATCCAAAAGATGAGAAGTATAAAACTTTATACTTAAAGAGGCTTCATTCTGAGAATGCGGAGAGAGAAAACCAAAACACCCCCGACCGATGGAGTCCGGCTTTCTCTCTGGCGGACACGAGGCGTGTGGGGTATATAAATAGCCTCGGTTTGGGGTGGAACCTAAGAGGGCATTAGGGATGCGCAGATAGCCCATTGGTCTTTGTTTGGCGCCATAGGTAAATTCCTAGGGGCGGGGAAGATGGAGTCACAGGTAAATTCCTAGGGGTGGGGGAGATAGGAGCTCCTTGGTTCTGCCTCTAAGGCTTTACCAGCTACAGTGTCCTGTCTGGGTCAAAACCCTTTCACTTTCATTTCTTGATTACATAATTTCACTGACCATTATTAGTTGAAGTAAGCATCTTTGTCTCATTCCTGTTTTCAGTGGGAATGCTCTCAAATATTTCATCATTAATTATATTTTGTTCAAATCAATTTTATTTCAAAGATTTAAAAAGCCACAATTTCAGAACACATCAATCAGAAGGCAACAATGGTACATACACTGTGCATTACCATCCCCAAATCAATCACCCAGAGCACAGGACATCTGCATTCAATTGTCTCAGCAGTACCAGCACAAATCTTTCTCTTCAATGAACTCAGAGAAATCAGTTAGTATAACCATCTTAAGTATCTTTTTATATACATATACATATATATGCATATACACATATTGTTTCTTTCAGTTTCTCACACTAGTGATACAACACAATATTTACACATATGTGTCTGATTTATTTCACTTATGAGTATGGTCTCAAGTTGCATCCATTTACCTACAAAAGTCTTTCAGTTTATTTTTCTTTATGGCTGAGTAATATTTCATTGTATAAAATGCTACATCTTTTTTATCCATTCCTCAGTAGGTGGCATTTAAGTTGTTTCCAAGATCTAGCTATTACAAACTGTTCTGCTATGAATATAGGTGCACATATACCATGTGGTAACTTCTTTTATTATGATATCCCCATAGATTTTTCATTTTCATTGTCTAGAAATAAACAATATTCTGTGCTGTGTTTTAGGTTTATAATTTATCAAGAGCAATTTTTTACCTTGTAGTACTAATAATTGAACCCTAAGGTTCATGAATGCTAGGCAAGCTACCACTGAGGTACAGCTACCAGCTTTCTGTATTTTTTTTTTTTTACTCTTGAAACAGGGCCTTGGTAAATTGCCCAAATGGGCTTCAAACTTGAAATCCTCCTACCTCAGTTTCCCAAATAGCTCGGATTATAGGCATGCATCACCATGACCAGCCATTTGAGCTGTGGTTTCAATACCATAGATACATAATTGGTAACCTTATACTTTTTAAACACTATGTGCAATATGTATAATATACCAAAAAGTACAGAATGTCTGTGAACATCCAGGTTAAAAATAAAATTATACTAATAATTAAGTGCATCTCTGTATCCGTCCCCAAACAGTGAATGCCTCCTCGTGGGTTTTGTTGTTGTTATTTCCAGTGTTGGGGACTGAACCTGCACCTTACACAGAGTAGCAAGGCTCTGCAGAGTCTATCTCAACTCTGACTTCTCTTTGTTTTCCCGTCCCGAGAGCTGACACTGCTTTGCATTTGATAGGCATCGTTCCCTTAAGTTTTTAAATAAACTTACTAGATGTGTAATCATTCTAAACCAATATTTTATTTGTTTTACTTGTTTTAAGCTTTACAAATGTAATACAAAGAGGCTGTGGATATATTTCAGTGATAAAGCTCTTAGCTGGCATGTGTAGGGACCCAGGTTGGGTCTCCAGCAGCAGAAAAGAAAAAAAAAAAACCCAAGGTATAATACTGTATGTATTCCTTCCAGAACTCACTTTCTTTCACTTGATGTTATGTTTATGAAATTCTGCTCCCTTCCTTTTCACTTAATATCTTTTTGGGGGCAGGAATAGAATTCAGGACCTCCCACTTGCAGGCAATTGCTGTGCTGCTGAGCGGTGCCCCGGCCCATTCCTTTTCATTTGCTGCCATACAGGCATTACGCTGTGTAAGAACCAAACATTGTCATGTTCAGCCCACCCTTGACGGAATGGCCAGTGGCAATATTTTGATCCATTCTCCTGTTCATGGGTACTTAGGTTAATTCCAATTTTTCACTATTCCAAAAATGCTGCTATGAATATTTTTGTATAAAAATCCTAATGAACATTCATGAGAAATTCTCTAGGATACATCCCTAGAAGCTTTGTTGTTCATAGTGCTGGGGATTTAGCCCAAGGCCCTCTGACTCACTCACAGACACACACACACAAACATACACACACACACACACGCTCATTTTATTTATTTATTCATGTATTTTGAGATAAGTTACTAAATTGCCCAGGCTATGGGTTCTGAGACTCCAACAGCTCCCTGAGAGAATGTCCCAGAGTCCTACAGGACTGCCTTGTGGCAGGGTACACGTGGGTCAGCTGTCAGGACAGGGTCACAGACCAAGTAATCAATTGATGCACTAGAGGGGCACTGCCTTGATTCAGAGCAAGGGGTACTGTGCAGGTGATAGTGCCCTGGGGGAGTGGTGCCTGGGGCTCTCTCAGGCAGGAGTGGTTCCACCTGGTGTTCAGTACAGGAAGCCTTAACCACTGAAATAAGTGGAAGACTTGTGCCGGGTTCTCTCTGCACAGATGCAGAAAAGCTGAGAATGCAGCTACTCATGACCCAGTCCTGAAATAAAACCATGGGTCAGGAGATGTCAGATTTGTCAGCTCATCAGTCAGTCAGAGAGAGGGAAGTGACTTCTACATGTAAGAAACTTCTACATGAGGGGATGTATATTTCTGCTTAAGAGAAAGCGTGCTCCACTTTAAATAGGTTACAACAAGATAGCCAGAGTAGCTCTCATTACCCTCGCCCTCCTCCTATCCTTGACCCCACCTCTTACCTCTTGGAGAAGTCTGACACCTATTCTCTGTGTCTCCAGAACTTATAGTCCCTTTTCTGGGTAAAGACAGACTGTCCATGCCCTGGTCTAGTTATAGCCTCTCCCTGTTTGTACCAGGGTCCACCTCCTCTTAACGATTGCAGGGACTGTCACTCAAGTGAGTTCTAGCTCCTGGACCATTGATTTTTCCCTTTCTTTCTCGAAATATGCCTCAGCTTTTGTAATCTTGTTTTTTATGTTTTTTTTTTTTTTTTTTTTTAGACAGGGGCTCTCTATGAAGTACAGGCTGGCCTTGAACTTACAGTCTGCCCCAGGTAGCCTCCTCCTGCCTTAGCCTGCCTAGTGCTAGGATTACAGGAGTGTGCCACCGTGCCCTAAAACTTTCTCTAACCTTCATAGAAAAAAGAAAACCTCTGTTAACACAATACTATTTCCTTTTGAGACAGGGTCTCACTCTGTAATTCAGTCTGGTCTTGAACTCACTATGTAGTCTAGGCTGGCTTTGAATTGATGGCAACCCTCCTGCTTTGGTTTCCTGAGTATTAGGATTACAGGCATGCCAAGGTAACACTACATATTTATGCTCTCATAATTTCACCAAAATTATTCTTGTCTGGGTACCTATGGCTTCCACATAGACATATCCAATAATCTGCTTCCAATCCCCAACTTAACATGCCATTTAACCCAGTAAATCATCCTCTTCTTTCTGCATTCCTTCCATTGCTTCTAGGATTCCAAACTCTTCTGGTTCTCCTCCAGATTTACTGCTAGATATTTAGTCTAGTTTGCTGTTTGATCTTCTCTTCAATCTGTAAATGCTGACTTAGGACAAGAACTCAGACTTTAGATAGACTCAATATCTTGGTGACCTTAGCTATCTAATTACCACGCACATATAACTACATTCAAAATCAAAGCACTGTCCTGAATCTCTCTGTAGAGCTGAAAAGCCTGCAACTGGTGATATGTATCCTTTGTTCATCACAGCTACCCTTCTGGCATCTGTTACAGAGGTTTATGGCTCGGGAACATGTGGCCTTCTCTTTGTCTACTCAGTCAGGACTTTGCAACTTCCCTTGCTGAGCCAGCTTCACTTTGGACAAGGTGCTCTCCTGCATACATAATCTGCAATGGTATTAAATAAAAAAAGACAAACCTTAGCACAGAATTATCCTTTCCTGACTTTAAGAACTCAGAGGACAAAGATAAATTGTTTATCATGTCAATTAAATAAGTTCAGGAGCACTTAAGTTTGTGGGTAATGTATGTATCTCTTCTAGGGGAACTGCCGTAGCACATGCCTTGTGGCCTTTTTATTTCTGAGCTCTCTTTCAAGAATCAGAATGCAGAGGCGTCTCCTGGTGACAAATGCCGTAGCCTGCTGTGCATCTCTTTTTCTCCGTTGCCTAGAGGTCTGACATCCTCTCTAGCCCAAGGGGGCACACCTATGAGCCCCTCCTGGCAGAAAGTCTACTTTACTTAGACAGAAACTCTTAGCACTTTTACCTTAGAATGCATGTTGCCATCAGCAGCTCCTTCGTGGTTACTGGCCCAATAGATTTGGAAATGGTTCTATAACTGTAATTTTCCAGGTGACCACCTCAGGGCCTACTTTGCTTCTTTGCATTAGGTGCCTCTGAACTTAGAATTTCTGAAAGGCTTTTTGTAGAAAAATGTGCCTGTGCAATTGTTTTCTCTTCTGCATCATCTGGGCAATGAATTCCTCTGCCTTAGATTCCTCCATCAATCTTGTCCCATATTCTATCTTTCAGGAATCCTTCAAATATGACGGTTCTTTCAGGGCAAGGTCACTAAGATTTTCAGTGGGATTTGGGGTAAAAAGGAACATAGATGTAAAAGCTTAGTTTATCATTTTTATCCATTTTCCCACAATAGTTTTAATTTTAAAAAAACTCTCAACCGTGACCAGGTAATAATTTTGAATATGGTTCATACTCAGTGCTGGGGGAGAAAATGCACAATAAGCAGATGAGCACAGAGACCTATGAGTGCATCATAACCTCCCTTAGCAACCACATTTCCATTTCTCTAAACTGATAAAGTTCCTGTTTTCTCCCCAATCCTAGAACTGCTGACCATAGGGATTTCCTCGGTGCTGCGTCCCCAAAAGAGCTACCTCCTGGACACCCTACAATCTCTCTTCTTTGCTTCTTCCTCAACTGAGCAGAAACACTTCATCGTTCTGGTACACCTGGCAAGTCCCAACCCCAAGTGGCTCAGTCAAATAACCTCCAACATCTCAACCCTCTTTAAACCACATATCCAGGCCAGAAAGCTAGTAGTGATCAACACATCTGGCAAAAGCTACCTTCCTCTGAAGAACCTCAGGAAAAGGTTTAGTGACAGCCCTGCCTTTGTAGCTTATAGCTCCAAGCAGAACATGGATTATGCCTTCCTCATGAACTTTGCTACCAACTACTCTGACTACTTCCTGATGATTGAAGATGATGTGAAATGTGTCCCTGGATTTTTCACCCAGATTGCTAATATATTGTCTGCCTGGGAAAGAAAGTTTTGGGTGACTCTGGAGTTCTGTCCACAAGGCTTCGTTGGAAAACTCTTTCATGCTAGCGACCTCCCCTACTTTGTTCATTTCCTTCTCCTCTTTTACCAAGAAATGCCTTGCGATGACCTCCTTTCCCATTTTCTTAATCTTCTCAGGCAGCAAAAACGAATCCAATTCTCCCCCTCCCTCTTCCAGCATATAGGCAATTCCTCCTTGAAAAGCAAATTGAGTGGCCTCAAAGAAGCGGAGGAAAACTATATCAGCTGTCCCAGCAATCCTGCTGCCACCCTTTATACTAACCTGAAAATCACCAATGACTCCAGTGACTCCATTCTCATGAATGCCTACAGCTTGGATAAAAATTATGTTTATGTCAAGGAGGCAAAAGCTGGCAGCTATCTGACTGTGCTTTTGCACAGACCTGCCACAGTTTTTCATGTTCAAGTACTCACAGGCTCTGAATCAGAACAGGAGAATCATTTGGAAGAGGGACAAGTGGAAATAGGATATGATTCCACCAACAGAGTCACTGAGTGTGATGACTATATTCTCCTGGGGATGCTAGTAAATGGCACCCTGAATAAGCATGTGTTATCTGAAGACTCAGGGAAGAAGGTAAAATGTGTAAGGCTGCTTGTAACAGCCACTCAGACCTCTGGATTAATAGTGAGGCACATCAACCTCTGGGTGAAATAAAGTTTAAGTAGGATAAAGAGAAGCCATTAGAAATTCTAGATTGGAGGTAGAGTCAACAGAGTTAACAAAGCATTAAGCTCTTAAAGTTGTGAGTAAAATTTCTTTCCTGGGCCTTTTCAGGATTCTTAATACATTACATTGAAAGGCAGAGTGAAGGTAACATCCTCTTGGTCCCAGAGACTTAGGAGTGCGAAGAGGAAGCTTGTTTAATTTTTTTTTAATATTCTATCCCAATGTGTCTACCATTCAAAATTTTTTCCTTGGAGCAAGAATGCCAGATTTCTAAAAATAACAAGGATATGTGAGTGAGACTAACTGATGCTGAGATCATGAGTTCAATAACACATGAGAGAAAATTAAGCAAAGAAATGGAGTCATTAGAGGCTGGACTTCCTACATGAAAGGAGAAAGTAAATTAGCAAGGAACAGAACTCTTTTCTCTGTGGTCTCTTTTTTCCACTATAAAGTATTTATACATTCAACAAAGAGGGAGCACCTTACACGGTAGGCAGAGTCCTCTCTATAGGATCACATAACACACCAAGGAATTCCTTTTAAATTGCACTACAATTATTAAAAACAACTTATTGTGATTTCTGTAGCTCCTTTCTCAACACATTCTTATCTGGATGTAAGGCTGGAACCTGATTTGTTCAGCCTGAAACACTCTGTGTCCCTCCTGCTGGTCTGAATTTGGCTCCTTGACCTCCTTGACCTTCTGCCAACCTGAACTCAGGTTCCACCTCACTTTGACACTGGGAGACACAAGATGGAGCCAGCATGCAGCTGCTCTGAGTTCCCAGCTCAGTTGGCCCCTCTCCAAGATGGCTACTAGCTGATTGCCCTCTCCTCTCTGAACCCAAATAACTCACTAGCCACTGCCAACTGCTGTGTCCACTGCTCCGTTCCACTGGTGTGTTTCTTCATGGAGGCCTCTGGGGTTGTCAGCAGTCACTGAGAGTCTTTGGGTTTGAGCTGCCCCACCCACACAGTGAGTCAGGCCTCAAGGAGAGAGTACTGCTTCCCACCACTTCTTCATTGAAGTCTCTCTCTTTGCTCTCCCCTATGGCTCCTATTCTTGAGTCAGATCTTTGCTGGATCCCAGGGACCCACTTCCCTCCTCCTCCTCTTTTCACATTGCCATATTCCAGTGTCTGGACACCAAATCTCAGAGAGGCTATTTCTCTGCTCTTCACCACTCTGTCATCTTCCAGGAAGTCCCAAATCTTCATGGGTCAACACAGTCTTATCTGTGGGACTGTAAGTAACTTGGATAACTATAGCAAGGACTACTTTTTACATTTTACTAAGGAGACCTTCTTTATTCTCAGAAAAATCTGAGCTCTGAGCTCAACTGGTACGTGGTATCTAAGGATGAGGTTTTCCTTAGTTTGAAAATTATAATATGTAAAGTCAGAGAAAGGGGGAAAAGAGAAGGATCACTTTAAGAGGAATACTTGAAAAAAACTAAAGTCAAAAGCCAGACAATGTAGCTGAAGGAGTAGTAATCAAAATGATGAAAAAGAGTTGGAGAATTTGGAAGCAGGATAATGAGATGGAGATAAGAATGGAACATAGAAGCTTTGAAGGTATCAGATACAGAAGAATCAGACAAACCATGGAAGTATGCTGATCAGATCTCCCTCCTACTGTGGCCGGCATGACTGCCTGACAGACCCAAGGTTCACCATGTGGTCCACCTCAGTGTTAGTACCAAGGCAAAGCTTCCCACCAAAAATCATAATTGACCTTAGCAGGGTCCTAAACCAGACCCATTCTGCCAAGATGGGAGATTACTCTGGCTTTCTTTTTGTCTTTATCTTTCTTTTTTCTTTCTGCTTTTTAAAAAAACAGGATCTCTCTATATAATTCAATTGGCTTGAACTCACTATGTAGCCCAGGCTGGCCTCAAACTCATAGCAATCCTCCTGCATCAACCTCCCAAGTGCTGGGATAGCAGGTATGTGCCACCATACCTGGCTTCTCCTTTCACTTTAGTTTAAGAACTCCCTCTCAGCTTGTGCAGAAAAGTGTTGGAACCAGTTTTAGACTACAGTCCTAGGCACTGCAGGTGTAGACTACCTTCAGGTCTAGGCAACCTTCCCTTCTCCGTTCCCTTCCACAATTGTCTCACCTTCACCATACTCCAAATCCTCTCCCCACCTGCAGCTTCCCCTCCCACTAATAAGTCTATGGCTACTCTTGTTTTGGTGAAAGCTTGCAAAGTGTGAGCTAATGTGAGTTGTACCAAGAGCGATCTGAGAAACCAGATAATGAGATGAGGATTTAGGCTTAGCTTCCTCACAACCAGGGAGTAGTAGCAATAGAGGTTAAAATGCATCAATCAAAAAAAAGGCACAATCCTTGCACACTTCCTGGATCTGAGCCAATTTTTAGATTCATACTCATTGAAGATGTGACCAAGTCCTCAGAAGAAAGGAGCCGGCAACGCTGATATGATAGCAGTTCCCTCCTCCTTTGCCCCAGGTGACTCACAGCCATTTATGTAAGTGATTGTCCAGCTGGGGAAGAGGAATGCCCAAACACTTTCATGACTTTTGGACACGACCTAAGCTGATGCTAATATCCAGAAATTTATTAGCCTCCTGTTGAATGAAAGCGTAACATGGCCAGGTTATAAATGGAGTTTCTGCCAAAGTCATGTTTTCCTTGAGACAATTGTATCCTCAGAGCCATCTGATGGTCCTTTTCCCAGCCTACGTGTGTAATTGGAATTAATGGACTCAGCGGTTGAAGAAACTCTTGTAGGATCTTTGAGATGAGAGCTGTGGTAGTAAGGAAGACCATACAGGGGAAGATCAAGTCTCTGAAACTAATACCACGACTGGCCAAGATGTAAGTAAATGAAAGAGAGGCCCAAATTAGAGGATGATGGCACAGATTAGTAGCATAAGTGGCATATACCGTCCCTATATCTGTTTATGACAAAATTTGGGGGTGGTTTTTTGTTTATTTTGTTTTGAGACAGGATCTCACTATATAGTTCAGCTTGCTCTTAAACTCACTATATAGCCCCAGCTGGCCTCTAACTCACAAAGATCCTCTTGCCTCAGCCTTCCTAATGCTGAGATTATAGGTATGTGTTACCACACCCACTATATGACAAAATCTATCTTATTCATCACTCTGGGTCCTGCAGAAAACAGATTGAATCCTGACAAATGACCATAGACTATCACAAACACGTGCAATCGGTAGTTCTGGTCATAGTTGATGTCCTAAACATGGTATCATTGCTAAAATGGATCATTAAACCCATGGGTATATGCTGTGCAGCCATTGACTTAGTAAATGAATTTTCTAATTCGAATTACAAAAGAGTGGGAGCAATTCATGCTCATATGAGATGACAATACTCATTCGTATTTTGCTCAAACTGTGGTACCTCTACTTCCCTCTGTCATAATGCAACCCAAAGACAGTTGGGTGCCCCGCACATCCCACAGAGCATCACGCCAGTCCATTACATTGATACCATGCCAATTAGGCAGGACATGAAAGTAGCTTAGATGCTGGAGGTCTTGATAAGAGGGTAAAAGATGAACCCTGAAAAGACTGAAGTTTCTAGGAGTGAAGGGAAAGCTAACATAATCCTTTCAAAATAGAGACAGTTGCTACATTTGGTATTCCCTGCTATGAGAAAGGAAGTCCAGGGTCTTACAGACTTTTTACTGTTCTACAAGCAATAGTCATCACACCTAGAAATAGTTCTTCAGCTTATCCACTGGGTGACACTGAAAGCTGCTGGCTTTTTTTTTTTTTTGTCTTTTTCATTTTTACCGGTACCAGGGATCGAGCTCACGACCGCCTGCTTACAAGGCAGGTGCTTATGCCGCTGAGCTAAATCCCCAGCCCCAAGCTGCTGGCTTTTAAAGTGAGCTGCAGAGCGAGAGAAATCTTTGCAGCAGATCTAGGCTACAAGGCAAGAAGCTGTGCCACATGGGCTGTACATGCCAACAGGCCCTACAGTATCAGTAGTCACAGTGATTGGGAAAGATGGAGGACAGATTTTATAGCAAGCCCCTGTGGAAACATCGTAAAACAGCCTTCTAGGATTCTGGAGCAAACCCTTCTTATTTACAACCAAGACGTACATAGGCCTTTTGAAACACAGCTCTCGGTATGAAATTGAGCCTTCACAGATACAGATCACTTCAGCATGGAGCACACAGTGACTTGCACCCAGAACTTCCTGTGATAAGCTGAATTCTGTCACAAAGTTGAGAGTCATAAAGTCAGACATACTAGCCACAGTCCAGCAAAGGATAAAAATGATACAAGCAGGGCAGACTGCATAAACTCCATGAGAAGTCTGGACTTCTGTGTCACCTAACTTCCCACAAGCTCACATTTTGGCCTTATGGAGGGCCCCTATGGCCAGCTAGAGGATAAGACACAATCTTACTGTACATACAGGCCTGCTCTATGTGTGAGTAAATCCGAAAGTGAATACCGACTGTCACATTCAGAGAGGAATTTGACAGAGTAGAGAAGGATGATCTTCCCAATGGGAAGAACTCTGAATAGTATACCTGATCATTTTGCAACTCTTGGGCAGTGTCCAAAAGTCTGGTTGTCTGACAGAGGCCCAGAAGACTAGAGATAAAAAAGACTGGAATGGAAGAATTTGGAAGGGTATATCACTTTGGGCACAAAGTGTGAAGATTTTTGTATCACATGTTAACATCCATTGAAAGCATCTCCATGGAAAGGCCCTAAACAACCAACTAGACAAGGGACTCAGACAACTGACCTCAACCAGTCCAAAAGTGGTCCACCAAGCATATAAACAGAGTAGTTATGGTGGCAGACAGAGGACACGTATGGGCTTAACAGCATAAACTCTTGTCTTAATCTATCTGATCTATCTGCCACAGAGACCAATGTCATTCACCAGGAGGACCCCATTCCTTGTGTTGACTAACCAAACATAAAGTCCTTCCATCCTTAAGGGCCTTCTTCACAAAAAGAGATGATTATTTTGGTCATGGTTCATCCTTTCCTACCCACAAAATCTCAGCCAGCACCACTATGTAGGACTTATCAAGTGTCTTGATCATTCGCCATGAAAATCTACACAACATAGCATCCAACCAAGAGACCCACTTACCAGAAAACGGTACATAAGTGAACAACGGCCATAGGACCCGCTGGTAATGTATAACACACTATCCATAAGCAGCTATCCTCACAGGACATGCACCTTTCATTTAATGTACTGCTGAATTTCCATCTCAGAGATAACAGTATAAGGATAGTATGCGTCTTTGAGAGGGGGTGGGTTTTTTGTTTGATTTTGTTTTGTGAGAGAGGAGCTCACTATTTAGTCCAGACTGTCCTTGAACTCACTATGTAGCTCAGGCTGGCCTCAAACTCCAGACAATCCTCCTGCCTCA